GATGATGGATAGATGCACTTTTATGATGGGCAGATGCACTTTTATGAGGATAGATGCACTTTTATCATGAATAGATGCACTTTTATCATGGATAGATTCACTTTTATGAGGATAGATGCACTTTTATCATGGATAGATGCACTTTTATGACAGATGCACTTTTATGAGGATAGATGCACTTTTATCATGGATAGATGCACTTTTATGATGGATAGATGCACTTTTATGTGGATAGATGCACTTTTATGATGGATAGATGCACTTTTATGATGGATAGATGCACTTTTATGATGGATAGATGCACTTTTATGATGGATAGATGCACTTTTATGATGGATAGATGCACTTTTATGTGGATAGATGCACTTTTATGATGGATAGATGCACTTTTATGATGGATAGATGCACTTTTATCATGGATAGATGCACTTTTATGATGGATAGATGCACTTTTATGTGGATAGATGCACTTTTATGATGGATAGATGCACTTTTATGATGGATAGATACACTTTTATGAGGATAGATGCACTTTTATCATGGATAGATGCACTTTTATGATGGATAGATGCACTTTTATGAGGATAGATGCACTTTTATCATGGATAGATGCACTTTTATGATGGATAGAGGCACTTTTATCATGGATAGATGCACTTTTATGATGGACAGATGCACTTTTATGAGGATAGATGCACTTTTATCGTGGATAGATGCACTTTTATGATGGACAGATGCACTTTTATGAGGATAGATGCACTTTTATCATGGATAGATGCACTTTTATGATGGATAGATGCACTTTTATGATGGATAGATGCACTTTTATGAGGATAGATGCACTTTTATGTGGATAGATGCACTTTTATGATGGATAGATGCACTTTTATGTGGATAGATGCACTTTTATGATGGATAGATGCACTTTTATCATGGATAGATGCACTTTTATGAGGATAGATGCTCTTTTATCATGGATAAATGCACTTTTATGACAGATGCACTTTTATGAGGATAGATGCACTTTTATCATGAATAGATGCACTTTTATGATGGATAGATGCACTTTTATGAGGATAGATGCACTTTTATCATGGATAGATGCACTTTTATGAGGGATATATGCACTTTTATGATGGATAGATGCACTTTTATGTGGACAGATGCACTTTTATGATGGATAGATGCACTTTTATGAGGATATGCACTTTTATGATGGACAGATGCACTTTTATGAGGATAGATGCACTTTTATGATTATAGATTCACTTTTATCATGAATAGATGCACATTTATGAGGATAGATGCACTTTTATGAGGGATAGATGCACTTTTATGACAGATGCACTTTTATGAGGATAGATGCACTTTTATCATGAATAGATGCACTTTTATGAGGATAGATGCACTTTTATGATGGATAGATGCACTTTTATGATGGATAGATGCACTTTTATGTGGACAGATGCACTTTTATGATGGATAGATGCACTTTTATGAGGGATAGATGCACTTTTATCATGGATAGATGCACTTTTATCATGAATAGATGCACATTTATGAGGGATAGATGCACTTTTATGATGATAGAAGCACTTTTATCATGGACAGATGCACTTTTATAAGGATAGATGCACTTTTATGATGGATAGATGCACTTTTATGAGGGATAGATGCATTTTTATGATGGATACATGCACTTTTATGAGGGATAGATGCACTTTTATGTGGACAGATGCACTTTTATGTGGATAGATTCACTTTTTTAAATGAATAGATGCACTTTTATGTGGATAGGTGCACTTTTATAGATCTCCAAAGACCTACAGTCATTCACTGGCATTATAAAGCTTGGAAGAGATAGGACATTTTTTATTTTTAATAAACTATCCCTATCGTGAACTATCCCTTTAAGGCCTTAAAGTTTCGCTGCTAGAAGCGATTATTCAAAACAATAACAGGTGTAGCTTTATGACGCATGAATGAAATCATAGGAGTTGTTGTCTTCAACATGCAATAAAACAGCTGATTGGTCTGGATTTAATCATTGTTGGAATCATAACTCAAGTACACAAGTCAACCAAATATTTATAAAGAAAAATCTTACATAATGTGCCTTTTAAAAAGGTTTAAATGCACAAAGTCATGGTATTAAATGTTGCATGCATTGACAAATTTACATTTTCTTCAGTTCTTTCTTTTCTTTACAAGTTAATAATTAAAACAAGTATTTCCTTTAAAACATGAACAAATATCTTTCAATGAGTTATGAAAACTTCCCTTTGAATGACGTTTTTTGGCAGATTTTCATGATCACTTCATTTTGATCAGTTTGACCGAAATCAAGACTTCATATTTGATGTCATTTTGCTTCTCCAGTAAATGTTTCTTGATTTAAACACGTTTAGACATTCGCACTGGATAAAAAGACAACATCACTGAGGAAATACAACTCGTGTTTCTCCCTATAGAGAAAATATTGACATTGTATTCCTTTCAATATATTCCTTTTCCTTGGTCTTAAAAAAATCTTAAATTTCCCTTCATAAAAACAAACCCTGTTTTATCATAATCATATTGGTCATTATTCAGAAGTACATCACTATTGTATAGCATATGATATTAAAATGTTATAATGTTTCAGCCTCAAATGCCTCACTATTTGCAAATGCAGCATCAATTTGTACATTTTAAACAATTACAAAAACAGTGAGTGTTATGATGAATGGTGTTTATGAATATCATGTTTTAGTGCATTCAGTCGTTGAGGATATGGTTATTTGGAAATATTACGACGCCGTCAGCTGCATCATAAACTCCCTCATGCAGGTAATCATATTTTTGTGATGTGTATTATGTTTACAAGAATCATTGCACTATTAATCATGACTCGCATTATAACCGTAAGAGCTCGTTCATAATGTTAAGATGCATTAGACATTATGATGCAGTGTTTTTATAGTATTAATATAGCAGTTATTGTTAATAAGCTGGTCTTCCGTTCTGCAGGTGTTCGGCCTGCGTTTCTAATCCTGGACCGGATCCAAACCAGAGAACACACACACAATTACAGTGTGACTCCAGTTAACCTCCGGCACCCAGTTAATGAGACACACACACACACACACGCACACGCACACACACGTGAACTATCACAATCACTCACACTCACTCACTCTCTCTCACATATACAGTCCCGAATGCACTCACACATTCTCTGCAGGATCATGTTAAATGTAGTTTTCACCCACAATTCTGCTTTTAACCATCATTATTTATAATCTAGGTTGAAATAACATGGACTAATGTCTTCAATAAAAGCCTAACTGTCGATTTGTAACTCACAGTAGGTCTGTCTGTAGAGGTTTGTAAGATCTCCTGTGGAGAAAATGGCTGGGGTTTTATGTTTTTTTACTGGATCATAAAACTGAAGTAGAAAGACTGATAATTCTCACTGATAAAACAGGTCTCTATACTGTAGAGAATCATTTGTTAACAAACAAGTGTTTATGCCTTAAATTATTACATTGTTTAAATTGATAAATGTTTAGCTAACTGTGTGATTTGTGATTTCTGAAATATTACATTTAGACAGTTTCCTCTGATAACAGATCACTCGAAGTAATTTCACTCGTCCATTTTCTGTAAAGATGCTTTGAAACGATGTGTGTTGTGAAAAACACTATACAAATAAATGTGAATTGAATTTAAGCATTCATTTATATCTTATTTGTGAAAAATGCCCATAACTTAAACCAAGAATGAAGTTGAATTAAATAAATACAAAATAAAAATGTTAAAAACATAATGACACTCACTTTTACCCAATTTGTGGACTAAAATAATGAAAAGTAATAAAAAAAAATGAAATATTAAAAAGACTAATTTATATCCTATTTGTGGACTAAAATGATGAAATGAAATAAAATATATAAATATTAAAAAGTCTAATTTATATTTGTGGACTAAAATAATGAAAAGTAATAAAATATAAAATTATTAAAGACTAATTTATACCCCATTTGTGGACTAAAGTAATGAAAAGAAATAAAATATATAAATATTAAAAAGACTAATTTATAGCCTATTATTTGGACTAAAACCAACCATAAAATTTAATTAAATTAATAAAAAATAAAATAAAAGGACAGTAATGAATACTGTCCTTTTTTTGGATTTATTTATTGTTTTGGATTTTTTTGGATTTATTCTTTTAGCCTATTTATTGGACTAAAAGAAAAATAATGAAATTGAATTAAAAATAAAATAAAAAGGACCCTAATTTATACCCTATTTGTGGACTAAAATAATCATGAAATTCAACTAAATATAAAATAAATTAAAATATGAGGAGGACACTATTTATACCCTATTTGGACTAAAACCAACCATGAAAGTAAATTAAATTAATAAAAAATAAAATAAAAGGCTATTTATTACACTAAAACAAATAATTACATTGAATTTAAAATAAAAGTAAATAAAAAAGAACACTGATTTATACCCTATTTGTGGACTAAAATAATCATGAAATTTAATTAAATATTTGGACTAAAACCAACCATCAAATTAAATTAAATTAATAAAGAATAAAATAAAAAGACAGCAATGAATAGGCTATTTATTGGACTAAAACAAATAATGAAATTGAATTTAAAATAAAAATAAATCAAAAAGGACACTGATTTATACCCTATCTGTGGACTAAAATAATCATGAAATTTAATTAAATATTTGGCCTAAAACCAACCATCAAATTTAATTAAATTAATAAAGAATAAAATAAAAGGACAGCAATGAATAGGCTATTTATTGGACTAAAACAACTAATGAAAATGAATTTAAAATAAAAAAGGCCACTAATTTATGGAAAGTGCCCGAGAATGAACGTTTGACTTGAATAGCAGAAGATAAAGACAAAGAAGAGCCAAATAAAAATAAAAATAAACGGGAAGAAATCAAGTAGGAAGTGAGTGATGCGCCGTGTGTGAGATCTTCTGTAAGGAAGAGGCATAATAAAGATCTGAAATGACCAGTTCATCTCCACATATGGTGCTTTAGCTAATGAAGGGCTTCTTCTTCACAGGTAGACTCATTAGCTGGCTCGGGCAGATGGTGGAGCGCGAGAACAGGCTGGAGATCTGTCCTACATCTGTGAGAAACTGCTGGACGTTACTGGACATCTGTAGAGGTCCACCAATGCGACCGGTCCGCCCGAATCCCTCGACAGCGCCGGGAGAAGTTCAGGATGACATCTGAGATGCACACGGAAAACAAGGTAAAGGATACTGAAAAAAAAAAAGTACAATATTTTTTATTTGAACATGCTTTTTAAAGATGATGTGGCTGCAAACAAGGAATGAATCCCAAATCACACACTATACAGTTGAAACTCGAAAACTAGAATATGGTGCAAAAGTTCATTTATTTCAGTAATTCAGCATAAAAGGTGAAACTAATATATTATATAGACTCATTACATGCAAAGTGAGATATTTCAAGCCTTTATTTGTTACACTTTTGATGATTATGGATTACAGCTTATGAAAACCCCAAATTCAAAATTAGAATATTGTGAAAAGATTTTCTGTAATCCATAATCATTAAAATTGTAACAAATAAAGGCTTGAAATATAGCCTACATGTAATGAGTCTATATAATATATTAGTTTCACCTTTTAAGTTGAATTACTGAAGTTTTGCACGATACTCTAGTTTTTGGAGTTTCACCTGCTTGTTTAATGTGCCGAAGTAGGACAGATGCATCCCAAATGATGTGGAAATGCATGAAATGGCCGAAAGCATGCACAGCTTCTGTGATTACTCTAATGCATGAAATGACGTTCTGGTGCTTTCAACACTTTATGAGTGTGTGTCTCTATTATGATGTGCCTGTGCACAAAGCAGCATCCATACAGACATTATTTTATAGAATTATTGCATTTATTAGAAAGAGGTTTCCACATACTATAAAGGGTACAATGCCAAAATGCTTGTTTTGAACTATTTCTTCTAGTGGACTAATGTTTGCATCCATGCATAATTTTTTATTTTATTTAGGCTGATATTGCATTTACAATATTAGTGATACTTCTCTGTATCCTCGTGATTTTTAACTCTGTAAAGCCTGGCATTTGAAATATATATATATAATGTAAACATAAACTTTTATTTTGGATGCAATTAGCATCTTAGCACTTAAGAGCCTGATTATCATATTTTATGGATAATCAATTAAAGCTGAGTATCTTCAGTCTAGTTCATCTTGAAATATTACTAACAATATCAGTTATTCTTACATTACTTTTATAAGATTTCACAGTAATAAGAGCGTGTTAAAATCAGGAAACTACAATAATTTCCACTTTCCTATAAGAGTAACTAAACACTTAACCAACTTTTTTTAGTTAATGATCTGTAAGAATGGATCTTTATTAATACCAGTCATTGATTCGATTAACTATAAAGTGTTCTATTTCTACAATATATGGTGTAAAAGCGTCTTAGTGCTGCCCTCTTCAGGTCGAACGGTGGCTACTGCAGTTGAATTTTCCAATTGGATGTTCCGCACTTCGTGACGTACGCAGGTTTCAGCTCGCCCTTGGCAGTATAAAAACCATCTTGTGTCGTCAAAACTACTGTAGGGAGTCAGGAATTGGAATTGTGAGTATTGAAAACGATCAGGATAGAGTGTTTTAGCATCTATTTCATCCCCTCCATCTCCGCTGCGCTGGGGTCTGCCCACTTTTTCAGCATTTTCAAATATTGCCAGTGGGTGGAGTCAGGCTCTGACCAGGGGTTTAGTTACCCTCTAAACACTATTGTCACATATTAAACCATTTACAGTATTACTAATAAAAAAACAATCATAATGTAGAATTGCTTTTAGAGTTGTGCCGTCAATGTCATCATAACCATCATGTGTTTTCTATTTATTTACAATGGAAATGAGTGACAGTCAACTTCATCTCCAAACCCGCGTATGAGTTTTATTTTTCATTATATAGGCTATAATGTACGGAGGTACGGAGGCGTATTGCATTCATTCAAAAATCTACTCTACTTTTCTGAATTAACGAGTTAATTTTTCATGAGAAAAAAAATTTTGCTCTGTTTTTCCGAATTAACAAGTTAATTTTTCATGGAAATTTTTTTTGGTCTGTTTTTCTGAATTAATGAGTTAATTTTTCATGAGAAAAAAAATATTTTGCTCTGTTTTTCTGAATTAATGAGTTATTTTTTCATGAGAAAAAAAGTTTTTGCTCTGTTTTTCTGAATTAACAAGGTAATTTTTCATGGAATTTTTTTTTGCTCTGTTTTTCTGAAAAACTCATGAAAAATTAACTCATTAATTCAGAAAAACAGAGCAAAAACTTTTTTTCTCATGAAAAATTAACTCATTAATTCAGAAAAACAGAGCAAAACATTTTTTCCTCATGAAAAATTAACTCATTAATTCAGAAAAACAGCAAAAAAATGTTCTCATGAAAAATTAACTCGTTAATTCAGAAAAACAGAGTAGATTTTTTTTCTTCAAGTGAATGCAATACACCTCCGTAATAATGGAAGTCAATGTTGTTCGTCAGTATATAAGAAAGACATGCAGGTTTGGAACGACATGAGGGCGAGTAAACTCTGTAAACATTATCCAAGGTGAGAGTGGCTTTGATAGGTGTCCTTATTCCTTTTTAACTTTATAAACTGGTAGAGGCCCTAATTACAGAATCAGCCCTTAATGTGTGTGATAGTGTGGTAAACAGGCCTGTGGTGTCAGTGAGTGTGTGAACATGTCCTCAGTGGGATTTATTGAAGTTTTCCCTCAGTGCTGCTGTTATGATGTTTTCCTCTTCTCTTCGCCGTGACCCCAGTGTTCTCCATCCATCTGTTAGTGGTAGTTTTGGCAGTGCCCTATCAGCACGAGTGCCAAATCTAAAGCACCTGTACGACTCTTTGCCAAACCATACACAAACACGCCACACCAACTGCCAGCTTTTGTCTTTCAAGAGCAAAATAAGGCTCGACGGCATCAGCCAATGCCACTGATGCAGAGATGCTTCCCACTCGAAAGCGTCGGCCAGAAGCCGCCTTCCCGCGGGGTCACGACGAGGTCAAGTTCAAGGATCTGACCCTGTACCTGGTGGAGAGGAGGATGGGAAAAAGCAGGAGGAATTTTCTCTCGAATCTGGCCCGATCAAAGGGGTTCTGCGTGGACGACGCTCTCAGGTACGGCACTCAGAAAAGCATTATCTGTAACGATTCCCTTTTTTCACAATTCATGCATATCACGATACCATATTACTGCGATACTCCAAGACATGAGAAAAGGTCAACAAATAATGCACTGTGGATAAAAATGCTAAATTTGGTTTTACATTGTGTGTGTGAATGATTAGACTTGGACTTGGTGTTGAAACCCAAAGCACAGGACAATAGAGACACCAGAATAACAATATTCACGATTCTGAAGCTGAAAATACTGAATTATTTTAGATGAATATGCTTGCACTCTTTCACTGACTAGATATTCAAAATAATGTACTTGTAACATCAGACATGGGCATTATCAGGACACACAAATATTCCCACATTACATTATTATACACTATATTTAACATTATTTTACAGTTTAAAGGAGTAGTTCACTTTAAAAAAAACTTTTGCTGATAATTTACTCGCCCCCATATCATCCAAGATGTCCATGTCTTTCTTTCTTCGGTCGTTTTTGATGAAAACATTCCAGGATTTTCTCCATATAATGGACTTCAATGGGGTCCAAACGGTTCAAGGTCCAAAAGACAGTTTCAGTGCAAACTGTTCAAAGGGCTTTAAACGATTCCAGACGATGAATAAGGGTCTGATCAAGCGAAACGATCCGTCTTTTCAAAAATAAATAAACTTTACGTTTTTTATTTGTTCGTTTACAAAATCTTTTTCCGAGTCATTTGGTTCATTTAACAAACGAAATGAATGAAATGACTCAAAAAAAGATTCGTTCATTTTGATGAACAAGTTCGAACAGGAGAGTCACGAACGGCGACCATTTGAGCTTATAAAACTTAAACTTGGTTATTTATTTATTAAATTAGCGATGGTTTTGCTAGTTAAGGCCCTTATTCATCGTCTGGAATCATTGCACTTCTCTAAGCGTGTAAAGTGGATAACTAATAACTAAAATGCATAGCGGAATACCACAGCAAGTGATTGGGAGCACTTCGACTCGGCGCATATCTATGGACTCGGCGCAGTAATATCATCACTCCGGAGAGGACTTTTCAAGAGTGATGATATTACCGCGCCGAGTCAAAGTCTATAGTATCCAGCTGCAGACCCGCAGCACCAGTTTCAGAACCCCAGCGCCAGAACCGGAAGTGAGGGGCGGCGTTAGATTCTAACCAACACCAGCGCCAGGAACGTAATTGAGGGGCGGAGCTTAGATTTGAAACCTAATAACGCCACCTAACGTAATTTGGAGGGTATTTTACACATGAAACAGCTTTTATTGAACAAGAAACGTCCTACTCTCTACGTATGTTATGAATGATGCTATACATTACTGTACAATAAGCATTTTAAAACATTGATTTTGTGTAAAATAATTGTATACAGTTTCAGTTATTCGTTTCATTGTATTACGAGTTACTTCCTGATCATGATGGTGAAAAAAATAATACTTGAAACTTATGGGCATTTTAATGTAGCCTGCTGGTTCGACTCTATTTTAATGTATAACAGTTTAATAATTTTAGCTAAGCAGTTTATACATACGTGTAGATTTAGGAAGATAAGACCTTTGTTTTTTGGTTTTTATAAAGGAGTTAACTTTGTATAATAAAGCTTTGAAAGATATAAAACAAGACAATCATTGGAGGTTTTCAAAATTATACACAATCTAATAACTCATTAGACCTCTGTGATATTTTATGTTCTATTTATTTATTTATTTCTTTATTGTGTTTACAAAAATCTTAAATTGTTTTGATATTAAAGATGTATTTGTAAGATGATTTTGATTGTTTAATAAAAAAAAGCAAAAAAAAAGCATAGGTATTTTTTTTTATAAAATATACTTTATTTCACAAGAACATGTGCAGCATGCATTTTTCGTGTAAAATAATGTCAAAATCTAAAAAAAGAGAAAATTCGGCATTATTTTGTTAAAGGGCACCTATTATGGAAAATTCACTTTTACATGGTGTTTGAACATAAATGTGTGTTGGCAGTGTGTGAGCAAAACCACCCTAGAATGATAAAAATCCATCCAGTAGTTTTTTTACAATCTCAATAAATCATATGCACTGCCTCAGAACGAGCTGTTCTGAGATCCAGGTCTTTGTGACGTAGAACGGGAGACAGGGGGTTGATTGACAGTGTGGCTGTGGCCTAGACCCCGCCCTCGGTGATCTGTACACACCATCCTTCATTGTTTCAACGACGACAGCCGGTAATGTCTCTTGGAAACGTAAATTAATGTTCTGTCGTGGACTCGTGGGTTAATCCTGTTGTTGTGGCTTAAAAGTTAATCCTCAAGTGTGGATTCTTGTCTACTGTTTGCGATCCACCGTCACCTCCAGTAACAGTACGTGTATTTTATGATTTTTGAGCAAATAGTCTTTTCAGTCAATGTCAGCCAATTCAACAACAAATGCGTCTAAAGTTATTGCCGTCGTAGGATGTCTGTGTATATAATTTAAAACCTTGTTTGTATAGTGTGTAACCACACGTTTATAAATATATATATTTTTAAATATATTGTATTAAAAACTGCATATATGTTGGTGTTCTGTAAGTTAGCCATCTTCTCACATTTGCCACAGAAGCACCCGTATGACAAGCTAAACATGATGCCACAGGTCCCTCGCATAAATGTAATTTCGCTCGTACGTAGCAAACTTTATCACAGAATGTGTATGTAGTTTCAAAAACTTGCGCTAGTGTCTGTGTGTGTGTGTGTGTGTTGGACATCCATCATTTCAAATGGGACGCTATTACAACTCTAAAGTACATAAAAGTAGCAAATAACCATACCGAGACGTACTGGTCCATTCTCATATGTTTATTCTGCCGGAGTCTCTTCATGCTATTTATATATTCCGATTCAAACGTACGGCTGAATGACATTCAAAACGGCGCGTCTCTTCACTCTCTCAGTACCGACTGCCTGCCATAGGTATCAAGTTCAAGTTACGCCCTCATCCAAAGGCAGGGCGGGGATATGCAGCTCATTTGCATTTAAGGTGGAATACCCCCTGAAACGGCTCATTTTTAAGCAGGCCCCAAAATGACATTTTCAAATGGTTATAATAAATTAACTGTGGGGTATTTTGAGCTGAAACTTCACAAATACATTCTGGGGACACCTGAGACCAATATTACATCTTGTAAAAAGGGGCATAATAGGTGCCCTTTAAAAATCTATACAAAAGGACCAATTCAACCCAAGCTAGGCCTGTTTTATCACAACAATTTTGTTTAAATTTAACTTACAATGTATCAAATGAGGAACTCAAGGCCCGGTTTGTCCTTACATGCTTGCTAAAATAATTATAATGCAATAATAATAATTCCGCCCCTCCTTCACTTCCGGTTCTGGCGCTGGGGTTCTGAAACTGGTGGTGCTGCGGGTCTGCAGCTGGAAGTGGAGGTGTTTGTGTTTGTTCGCTTCTCTGCTTGGCCCATATTGAATGAACTGGGCTAGTTAAGTGCGATCAAAGTGTCTCGCGCGCCAGAGCGATTCAGCGCACGCACTGAGACGACAGAGCAGAGGTGTGTATCAATTCATAACATAGTTTATTATGAAAAAACGGTGGAGTATCTCTTTAAGCGTTAAACCAACAGTTCATTCCTCACATATATACTAAACTTGGGATTCTTGGATGCTGTAAAAGTAGTTGTGTAAAGAAACCCCATCCAAATATGCTTGGAAAAGGTTGTGTGGAATTCAAAGTTAGATGACGCTAATGTCGTTCCAACTAGTATTCGTTGCAATGCAAGATAAAAAATAATTTGCAAAGTATCTCGAGCAATGCATTAATTCCAGACACGTTAGTGTCGTGCAAATTCAAAAGTGACAAATCTTGCATGAAAAGCGTCTTACCATGACGAGACAAATGTAACGTTACCGACCAAGACAATGAACCGATTGCGAAAACAGTTATCGGCACTTTCTGTGTTTTTCTTCGAGTGCGATTTAACAAACAAACTCAGATCCCAGTAGAGAGATTTCCCTAAAGACAGTGAGTGACATACATCTCTCTGGCAAACAGTTCTATTTTTCAATGTATAATATTTTAATTTGATGCAAATCGCAGGGATAATGAGTAGTGCAGCTGGTGTCTCCATGCTTTTCAGGACAGAAGGTTCTGTAGAAAATGATGTTGTAATAATAGCACAGAAACTATAAATTAAAACCTCAGTAACTGTTGATTTAACATAATTAATCAGTCACTCCGAGTAAAAAAAAAAAAAAATGAAATTACAAGTATACACTAACTTACACTATCAGGCAAAAGTTTGAGCGCATTAAATTGATCAAAAGTGACAGGAAAGACATTTATAATGTTACAAAATCTTCTATTTCAAATAAATGCTGTTCATTTGAACTTTCTATTAAACGAAGAATCCTGAAAAATTGATCATAATTATAAATGTTTCTTGATCATCAGATTCTCATATGGTGATTTGTGAAGGATCATGTGACACCGAAGACTGGAGTAATGATGATAAATTCAGCTTTGATCGCAGGAATAAATGTATTTGTATTGACATTAAAAATTGCTATTTTAAATTATAATAATATTTAAAATTTTACAGTATTTTTGATCAAATAAATGCAGCATTGGTGAGCAGAAGAGCTTTCAAAATGTTTAAAAATTCTAAATTATTTCGCACTTTTTTTTGACCAGTGAGTTAAAATGCGTAAAATGCGAGTGTGTAATAAACCTGAGCCGTGAAGTGCGGTGTGTTGTTCTTCTCCTGATGTCTGCTCGGTCAGACGTGATGCACGGCTGTTGGTGCCAGTTTGTGCCAGTTTGTGCAGGTGGAGGAGCACCAGTGGGAGTTGTTGGTGTAGATGGGCATAACAGCACCAGCAGTTTCCCGTAGCGTATCGCGCCGTTCCCAGCTGAGCGATGGCATCATTCCCAGAAACACAGCTTGAGCTCACGCGTCTGCAACCAACCACAGGAAACGCATCGTGACGAGCTGAAAACTGACGGTTTATAAGCCACTGAGGGTTTGATATCAGCATGAGTCTGATAATACAATGCCCTGTAAAGATTCCCCGGGTATTACACAGAACGCAGAGCATGAGGCGCACGAGAAAGACTGGAGACGAACTGTTAAAACATTTATAATGCACATCTTATTTTATATTGATTTCACTGAAGCTGTTTAATAAATCAAGCTGTGATTTGATTGCAGTGGAGTTTGATGTAAGAGGAAAATGTTCTTGCTCAGAGGTTGCACAAGATATTCTCGTAAAACCCCTTTGAAGGAATGAAAAAAAGAGTATGGTTTTTGGTATTAGAAAACAAAGCAAGCCCAGTCCAGATGAGATAATGTAAACGTAAAGGGGACATATCATGCAAAATCCACTTTTTTAGCCCTTAAATGCATTTTGTTGTATATTTGGAGTGTTTATAAGTACAGAAAAGATGAAATTATTCTCTTCAGGTGCTTCGTTTATATCTTTATATTCTGTTTTGGTCATATTTTTCAACCTGTTCAGATTTTTCTGTTTTCTAATTTTTTTTTTTTAACTATCACGTCACCGTATTTGCAGCGGAACTGCCAAATAAGGACATTGACTACCGGCCCAACACTTCGAGCAATCCGCCATTATTATTTCTCGCTCCGATTTTGTAGTCCGAGCTCAATGATGCCGAAGTTACGAGAGGGCAAGTCAAAATGTTCGGTTTTTGGATGTACGTTAGTGACCTGAAGCACTTCAAGGATTCCCACCTCAACAACCTCTAGTATAAAGAAGGGTTTGCCGATTGACTTCGTCTGAACGAGAGGTAAATTCCTTCTATCTTTGGAGACGACGAACAGAGCATTTCGATAAGCTGTAAATATCGTTAATAAAAATAAAGTACTTTACTTTCTTAAAACACATGGTGGTCATGGTTTAGCAGTACCTTTGTCTTTCTTTGTTTTTGTTTTGAAGTAACGTTACACGTCTGCAGTGTTATTGTTATTGTCATTTAGCTGCTTTTCTAAACGTATCATATTATCAATACAGATTTTTTTTGTGGTAAGGTTAAACCGTAGTCATTTGATTTATCTTGTCAGTGTGCTTGTTTTAACAAAAGAAATAGTCGACTTTCACTAATAACACAAAACAGTTAACTCGCATAGCATACCAATAAGTTACATCCATATGAAGAAGAGGTTGTTTTGCAGGTTCGTCGTCGTCTTTATCGACTCGCTCGCTCCGGCTCGAATATGTAAGGCTTGATGGACAAGTCTTCTCTTGTTGACATTTTATAAACGTGTGAATAAAAATGTTCTTTGAAGGTATCGTATATAATCGTATATCTCTTATCAAACTACAATAATGGCCGAACGGGGGAGTTGAACTGACCGTGAACTCATCGACCTGGAGAGCGGGCGGGGGTGTGACGCATCTCCTTTTTATTTAAAGGGGCCGCTTTGAAACGGGTCGCTCACAGACGCACATCCGAAAAGGGGCTTGTGGAGCTATAATAATGAGGAATTCAGACCCAAGCATTGCAGTTATGCTTTATATAGACCACAACGGTATGATTTATATGTGAAAATTAATGATTTAAAAGCATGGTCTGTACCCTTTAAACTTGTTGAAACCTTATAAATACCTTTGCGTGCCCTTCACTTTTTTGGCGGGTTAATTTTACATAATTTTACGAGTGCTGTCCCAAGTTACCTGGTATTTATGGGGGAGTAGCCATAGATATCTATATAAAGGCTAGATATGTCGTCCAAGCTGCTGGCCAATGGAGGTCGACGTCTGCACCTGGCGGCCATCTTGTCACAGGCAGCTCGCTCACTCGTAACATTGTGTTAGTGGTATATGTACTATTTAAATGACCATAACTTGCTCAATTTTCTACCGATTTTCAAACGGTTTGTTTTGTTATAAATATCAGAGATGAAGTTATGACACGGCATACTTATGAATAAATAATCATCTAGATAATTATAGCCACGTTAATAACGTTTGTAAGAAACCAAACCGATTGTAAATCCGTCAAGATTTCAACGAGATAAGAGTATTTGTGTTCGTGCTGACCACTCATCTTACATCAGCTTGTCTGTGACAAGATGGCCGCCGGTGATGACGATGGAAACTCCGCCGTAACACATCTAGCCTTTATATACATATCTATGGGAGTAGCTACTAGGGTTCGGGCTAATTCCGAGCTCGAAGCCCTTTCCCCCGGACAGCTCGCCAAATATGCATTAAAATTTCTCCCTCGAAGTGTGAACTAGTGAAATGACAGTTGCCATAAAAATTCATAAAGCCTCCATGTGTCCTGTCATGATTATGAAGGCGTCATGTCACACCCCTTCAAGTAAAGTGTGACCCACTTGACTAATTTTATTGAGTTAACGCTATGTAAAAATCTATAGATCATATAATTCAAGAGTCAATCAATAATAAAAGATTGAGGTTTTTTTTGTGTGTGCATCTAACAAGCCGTATATTTTCCGGTTGATGATGAACAGTGAGGAACTTATTTCTCAGGTCACGTCACGGGTCGATTTTCCCTGAAACTCTCGTCGGTGGTTAATCTCAAACATCCGTGTGTTCTGCCGTCCTCCTTCCCCGTGACGTGAGCCGACTGCAAGCGATGCCCGATGTGGGTAATTTCGTTTAGCGACTGCTTTGACAGACACAGTAATTTACCAAAGTGCTGAAAGCTCGGACTGACTGAGCCGTGTGTGTGTGTTATTATAGCCGTGCTTTTGATCAGACACGTCACATACACACATCCTAATGCAGATCCCGGTGTGAAAGTCCACCTGATTTGATTTCACACACTATAATCTGATCTCAGACAACCACTAGAGAAATTAAAAACGCATGTGGGTGTGTGTGAGAGAATCAATCAATCGCAGAGTAGATGTGAAAGTGAATTAAGGTGCTTTGCAAACAGCCACACAATCTGAGGTTTCTTCTAGAACTCGTTACGTGTGTCTAATGGTGTGTATCTTCTTTTTTTTAGTGGTAACGTGACTCACGTCGTGTCTGAGGGAAACGCAGCGCAGGATCTCTGGCACTGGTTGGAGGAGCAGGGGTTTGGGGAGACACCACACACACACGTGCTGGATGTCAGCTGGTTTACTGAGAGCATGAGCGCTGGACGGCCTGTGCCGGTGGAACTGAGACATTACATACAAGTAAGTGCACTTCAGAGAACACATGTGGTTTTTCTCAATATCCTTCGCTCATCCGTCCTCCATCCGACGACCCGGAAGCCGATCGAGCAACACTGCAAAAAATGCTTCGTATTTTTGTCTATCAAAAATTATTTAAATCAAGATGCATTTACTTAAAGGTGTGTGATTTTTAGCGGCATCTAGTGGTGAGGTCTTATCAAGCGAAACGCTCGCTCATTTAATAAATAAATAATAAAGGTTAAGTTTATAAGCTCAAATGCTCGCCTTGATCTGTGACACACGTTTGTGACTCTCCTGTACGAACTTGTTCATCAAAATGAATGAATCTTTTTCAGAGTCATTTGGTTCATTCAACGAACGAAACGAACAAATTGACTCAAAAAGATTGGTATTTTTGAGTATTTTTGTCTAGTTTCTAGTCCAAATATAAAAAAAATATTTGAAACAAGACGCATTTACTTAAAGGTGTGTGATTTTTTGCGCCATCTAGTGGTGAGGTCTTATCAAGCGAAACGATCGCTCATTTAATAAATAAATAATAAAGTTTAAGGTTATAAGCTCAAATGCTCGCCTTGATCTGTGACACACGTTTGTGACTCTCCTGTTCGAACTTGTTCATCAAAATGAATGAATCTTTTTCAGAGTCATTTGGTTCATTCAACGAACGAAACGAACAAATTGACTCAAAAAGATTGGTATTTTTGAGTATTTTTGTCTCGTTTCCAGTCCAAATATCCAAAAAATATTTGAAACAAGACGCATTTACTTAAAGGTGTGTGATTTTTAGCGGCATCTAGTGGTGAGGTCTTATCAAGCGAAACGCTCGCTCATTTAATAAATAAATAATAAAGTTTAAGTTTTATAAGTTCAAATGCTCGCCTTGATCTGCGACACACGTTTGTGACTCTCCTGTTCGAACTTGTTCATCAAAATGAACGAATCTTTTTCAGAGTCATTTGGTTCATTCAACGAACGAAACGAACGAATTGACTCAAAAAGGTTCGTATTTTTGAGTATTTTTGTCTAGTTTCTAGTCCAAATATAAAAAAAAATATTTGAAACAAGACGCATTTACTTAAAGGTGTGTGATTTTTAGCGGCATCTAGTGGTGAGGTCTTATCAAGCGAAACGCTCGCTCATTTAATAAATAAATAATAAAGTTTAAGTTTTATAAGTTCAAATGCTCGCCTTGATCTGCGACACACGTTTGTGACTCTCCTGTTCGAACTTGTTCATCAAAATGAACGAATCTTTTTCAGAGTCATTTGGTTCATTCAACGAACGAAACGAACGAATTGACTCAAAAAGGTTCGTATTTTTGAGTATTTTTGTCTAGTTTCTAGTCCAAATATAAAAAAAAATATTTGAAACAAGACGCATTTACTTAAAGGTGTGTGATTTTTAGCGGCATCTAGTGGTGAGGTCTTATCAAGCAAAACGATCGCTCATTTAATAAATAAATAATAAAGTTTAAGTTTTATAAGCTCAAATGCTCGCCTTGATCTGCGACACACGTTTGTGACTCTCCTGTTCGAACTTGTTCATCAAAATGAACGAATCTTTTTCAGAGTTATTTGGTTCATTCAACGAATGAAACGAACGAATTGACTCAAAAAGATTCGTATTTTTGAGTATTTTTGTCTTGTTTCCAGTCCAAATATCAAACAATTATTTAAATCAAGATGCATTTACTTAAAAATGTGTGATTTTTAGTCGTATCTAGTGGTGACGCCTTGGTCTGTGATGCACGTTTGTGACTCTCCTGTTCGAACTTGTTCATCAAAATGACCGAATCTTTTTCAGAGTCATTTGGTTCATTCAACGAACGAAACGAACGAATTGACTCAAAAAGATTCGTATTTTTGAGTATTTTTGTCTTGTTTCCAGTCCAAATATCAAAAAAATTTTTATATCAAGATGCATTTACTTAAAAATGTGCGATTTTTAGCGGCATCTAGTGTTGAGGCTGCGAATTGCACCCAACAGAAGTTACAGTGGCTGACAGGAAGTGATGTTATCATCTAAGACAACAGAGATTAGCCAGAACTTTCTTTACAAAGATAAATTAAGTAAGTAGGTTTACTTAGTTATTCAGTAAAATGATATGTTTTTGCGAATAACTTGTGTCAGTGTTTTATTCGTTGACATTAGCAGCTTCTTTGCACGAAGAACAATATAGTGACGAAACGCGTTTGTCCGTTCAGGGCCACCGTAGAAACATGTCGACGTAAGGAGACCCGGCTCATTCTAAGCTAATAAAAACATAACGGTTCATTATGTAAGGTCTTTATACACAACTAAAAACATGATATTGCATTTCTGTCAACAGATCCTCCTAAATATTAGGCTATACAATGTACGTTTATGTAGTAAAATGCCATACGTCGTTTTCTAAGGCAATAAATGCAAAATAAGTGAGTTTTTGCTGAAAACAAGCTAAATTATCTGCCAATGGGGTGAGAAAAATACTCTGGTTTCTGTTTGAATTAAGATCATTTTTCTCACTCTATGACTGATAATTTAGCTTTTTTAAGCAAAAACTCACTTAATTTTAATTAAATAAGGCATAAAACCTTATTGCAATTCACTCATCTAGTAAATGATCTTGATTTAAGAATTTTTAGATATTTGGACTTGAATAAGACAAAAATACAACTTAAGAAAAGCATTTTTTTTTTTTTTTTTTTTTTTTTTGCAGTGAGCTGACATTCTTGTCCCGCTTCACATCTGTCACAATCATTTTAATTTATGCTTTACCTTTAGTTTGCATACAGCACACATATATCAACAGGGCATCTTGCTTTGACTTTATTATTTATTAATTTCTTAAATAACCAAACTTTAACAACATTATAATATACAATAAGCTTTCATTCGATTCCTCCATCCTTGCAATATGAGTCGCATGCCGAAAGCTTTTCTGATTGGCCTCCTCATGACATCACGTCCTTATAGACACGCCCACCTGGAGGACAAAACCACAAAACAAGTTCTGTGTCTAATAGTCCCTATACCCTTAAAGTCCCCCTGTGGTGAAAATCAAGCTTTTAATACGCTTTAAGACAAACCATGTGCAAGTTCATTAGTCAAATGACTTTTTAAAGTCAGTATTCTTGAAAATTTGTCTAGTAGAAATATCTAAATGTCTTTTAAAACAAGATATATATACTGGATAAGTGATATACATACTTATTTCATAGGATTAGTATCATTTTTGGTGTAACTTGTCGTCTTTTGCCTTTTTAATAATAATGAAATATGAGGTCTGTAACTTTATTTTGTAACTGTAATGTTGCTTAAATCTTCATTTACAGTTTAGGACCATGCAACATGTTCAGATTAGTTGTTTTTAGCATTATTTTGGGGGTGATTCTGTCCTGGAGCACTGGGTGGCGCTGTGAGCCCGAAAGCATTTCTGACACTGTACATGTAAAGTAAGAGATATAACCATGTCTTTATTAAGAGCAGGGAAATAGATCAAATAAAATGTGTAACAGCTTCTTGTACTAGAGCGTTTCAGAACATTCATGACTCATTTTTACCTTCAAATTGTTTTTTTTATCTCCAAAAAGCATTTTCACCCGAGTTCTAGGAGCTTGAATGCGCCTAAATTACATTCCTATAGAAAGCAACTTCACAGCCACTTTGGGAAATAATACAAAAAGGACATTGCATTTCACATGTTGTGTTGGCTGCAAAAGCACAAATCATAAAACCGAAAGGCCAGCGTCCGACGCCTCAGAGTGATGTTTAATACAGCGCCAAATAGAGGCATCAGCGCGACGCCGGGCCTCGTAGCGCACCGCTAACTGACGCTGAAGACTGATTCTCCACCCCTGGACAACGCCGTGGGCGCTTCCACAACATATGCGCCCCACATAAAGAAATATGCTGCCTGTTGGAGGACCTCCATTAATCTCTCTTCTCCTCCTCAGCGGGGACGCAGACGAGCAGAGGTTGTCCATCTTGCGTAGCCGCTAACCGTGCCCGAAAAGAAGCGGAGGAGGACGGATGACTGTAAACTTGAGTTCGCCTCTTATAGCTGGTTTGGGTCTGCCGACTAGAAAATCTCTTGTTTGCTTTTAACCGGCATTGATTGAGGCGTTTAGCATCGAGCTGCTTTGATTGATATGGATATAATAGCCGGGTAATGATGCAGAAGACAATAATTGATCTGCAACAATAGTGAGACTTCTGTCATGTCATTCCAGACTAGTATTTCTGTGAAGAAATTTCAAATTTGTGTTCAAAATCTTAATGCAGCTCTTTTCCACTTAGTGGCCATGACAAAAAAAGTATATAGGGCCTATATATATATATATATATATGAAGAGTTCAGATGCAAAAGCCTCTAAATGCCATTTGAAATTTTCTTCTAAAATGACCATTTTTATCAAGCTTGTATATTTAAGTTCAGTGATTTCACTTAAATAACAATTAATAGGTAATTATGATTGCCATTTAAGTGAAATCACTGAACTTAAATATACAAGCTTGATAAAAATGGTCATTTTAGAAGAAAATTTCAAATGGCACTTAGAGGCTTTTGCATCTTCATATATATACTACTCTTAGAAGAAAAGGTTCTATATAGAACCTTAAAGGGTTCTATCAGCGCTACATATTTGGAACCCCTAAAAGGTTCTATACACTCTTAAAAAAGGGTTCCTCTGGGTTCTATATAGAACCCTGGGGTTCCGTACTTGGCCAATAGAACCTTTTACCAAAAAATGGTTCTATATAGAACCATTTAGCAGTTCCATATATGAAGCGGGGGATGGAACCATTTCTTCTAAGAGTGTGTGTGTATATATATATGAAGAGTTCAGATGCAAAAGCCTCTAAATGCCATTTGAAATTTTCTTCATTAATGATGATTTTTATCAAGCTTGTATATTTAAGTTCAGTGATTTCACTTAAATGGCAATGATAATTACCTATTAATTGTTATTTAAGTGAAATTACTGAACTTAAATATACAAGTTTGATAAAAATCATCA